CCATAGGTTAGTACTCATAACCATATTCTGTCCATGTGGCCAAATAAGTATGTAAGACTAGTAAAAAAGCATATTTGCGTCAAAGCTATCACCAATTTGCAAAGCCGTTTTTTAGAGGTGAAACAAGTTAACTGAGGAACAGCATAATTGCATATTATCTACCCAACTGAGTAATAGAAATAGGTTCAAAGAAATTGAAATATTTATAAGAGTTGGACTCAGAGAATGGCCAGAATCAGAGTAAAATATTTTGAGTCATAAAACAGAAGGCAAGATTTTACAGCAAGATATATGGATTCAATAAGAGAAATTCTATGCTTGAGGTTTTTAAAAGCACTTACAAGTTCCCAAAGTTAAATGCCTTTTTCTTGCCACTGGAAACTGTGTCAAAGCCAAAATCCATTTTGTCATCATCCATCACTGGCATTGATTTCCAGGAGCCAAGGAACTCATTTCCAATGTCAACATCTGCTTCAAAGATAATCTAGGATCTCACTATCCAGAGCATGAGAGAGACAATCTTATAGAAATCAACACCATCGCAGCATTTGACTACTAATGGCCCATTCAAAGACCACTAGTTTTATCACAATGCTTAAATATCGAGAACTACTCTACAACTACGTAAAATTCGTAGAACAATGAAGATATCTGCACTGCCTATCAATGACATTCACTATGAATCTTCTAGAGTGCATACTATGAATACGGTGTATCAAAGAGATTACCGAATAACGAGTTTTTCTCTTTCGGATCAATTGATGATGAAGTTTTCTTCTCCGACTCTGCCATCTGCAAAATGATTAAACTGTTGTCATTGATTAATATGCCAGAAAACTGAATGTTAAAAAAAAATGTCCATGAATCAGTAAAAAAGAAAAAACAAAGAAAGAAAATGTTCAAATTTAACAAAATAAACACAAAAATAGTGCATGACCTCATTTAGTAACAACTAATCAATTTTAACAATTCTGCTTGCAATAAAACTAATTAATGAGTGAAACTAACACCTAAAGCTGAGAAGCAGAGAATTACTGAAGTAAGATGCAAAATCAATCAAAACTACAAAAAAATAAGCACAAAAATTCCAAATAAAAAACAATAGTGCCGGATTGCATAACCTAATTTGAGCAAAGAATCATAAACGAAAAAAACAAGGAAAGCATCTCATCCCAATCATCGAAACAACACCGAGATGGAAAATGAGATCGTGATTCCATCAAAATTAGTTATAAAAATCGAACAAATACACAAACTATGAGTGAGAGAGAGAGAGAGAGAGATGCCTTGATGTTTGTTTCGCGAGAAAATATTAACAGATTTTGAGATTGGAGAGCGGAACCTGGAGTCTCCGTTGAGCGATAATTTTTCAGCCTTTTGAATGTGCCTGGTCTTTATAAGGGGCTGGACATCGAATAGGCGGGAATGAACGAGCGACGACTGACGTCCGTCTGACTACACTTTGCATGAACGGCTGGATTTTTACTTCCTTCTCACGCCTGATGGTGACACGTGGAAGAATACTTTGACAACACGTCGTTCAAGGAGTAATTGAGAAGGTTCACACGACATGCCGTTTAGTTCTGTCGACTGACGGTAACTCAAACAGATGGCTTGTTTGATTTCTTCTTAAAAAAATTGTAGCGTACTTGAGCTTTACAAGCTTAGTTATGGCTGACACGAGTACAATTCAGAAGGTCGTCTTTCTTATACAATTTCAGTGGCTGCAAATGAGGCACGCGATAGAGTGACACAGTTATTTTTAAATAAAAAATAAAAAAAATATATATTAAAATTATTTTTTGAGAGATATAAAAAAACTCAAAACAATTAATTTAAAATAAATTCAAAATTTTACAATGTAGACATAAAAATAAATATGAATTAAAATATCATAAAAAAAATAAATATTGCATTGGAATTGCAATTCACTATAGCCCCTTAAATTGTTTTTTGTGTTTAAAAGACTTTTTGTATCGTTGCTGTCCTAAAACTCAAAAAAGATTTGTATCTCAAAATTACAGGTCAGTCTCTAATCTTCTTGAGTTTAGCAATGAACCCCTGAAATTTCTTATTACTTGATTGGATGGGTTGATTATAGATGTAACTCTTTCTCTTAAATAAAACTATTATTTTCGATAATATTTTCGTGAGAATTTTTTTTGGGAAAAATCATTTTTATGTATTTTTTATGGGGATAATAGATAGGAATAGACTTTGCCTCCCTACTTTCACCCTTCAAATACAATAAAATCATAATAACATCAATCCCAATTATAATTAAATTACCTTGTCGGAAAAGAAAAGTTATTGATTGATGTTATAATAGTATTTATTTTTTAAAATATTTTTTATTTAGGAAAATCTTAAAATATTATTTTTTATTTTTTAAAATTTATTTTTAATATTAACATGTTAAAATAATCTAAAAATATTAATTTAAATTTTACAAAAACACAGCCCATCAGCATAAAACGGGGTAAAAAAATCGTTATGTTTAGAAAAATTATCTTATTAGGCCTTTGGGGACTTCAACAAGATTAAGGGATCTAAAAATAATATAGGGCAATGCACAATTGAAACTGTTCAAGCATTCTTTTTTTTCCCCCTTGAAATAATGAAGTTAATTGAAATTCATATGATTGTTCCAATAAAAATAAAATAAAATAAAAAATTGTATAATAACTATATTTGTTCAATGCATTTTTTCTAAACAACATTAACAAAATAAAAAAAAATGTCTCTTGGAATATTAATTAGTAGTAATTAGAGGTAGTTTAATTTAATAAAAATTGGGTAATTTGAATTTATATTATCAAACTCATTGGATGTATAGAATATTTAATTGAGGTTATAATATAACTAGAAGAAAAAAAAATCATATCATCTAATTATTATAAGTTATAACTTCTAATTTTGAATTAAAAAATTGAACTTATATATGCACTAAAAATATTTCACTTGTACTAAAATCAATTTCTCATGCATCTAAGTCAGCTGCCATGTATCACTAGCAGAGATGCAATACTCAAAACTCCAAATGTTTCCTTTTTTTTTTCTTTTTTTTTTTTACTTCTAGCTAGAAAAGTTCTCGAAGATTAAAAAAACCTTCATCCATACAATAGTAACTAGGAATATGTTTTTTGAAAAATATATGAGAGAAAAATAATTTAGGAAAACTTATTTTGCAAATAAATTTAATTCATGATTAATGCCAATAAGAATTAAAATATGTAATTAACAATCATAATTATTTAATGATAACTTCATTACCACTATTGAGTTTTTCTAAACATTTAAATGTATAAAAAATAATTTTTTTAGGATCCTATAATCCTATTAAATCATTTAAGGTGGCACAAATATTATCTGAAATACATTTCTTCTTTATAAGGTTGGATGAATTCTTCAAGGTTAGATTATTTTAAACCATAAGTTGTCAAGTTATAATCTATACAAACAAATGAATCAAAAATCTCCTGGAAACTCTTTTAGAATAAAAAACATTATTATATATTGAGTGTTGGCTCTTTCTATTTTATCTATCTATCTGTATAGTTGTATATGATATGTATATTGTGTATCTAATCTTATAAAAATATAAGGCATTTATGGAAAACAATTTGATAACCTTATTAATAACAATATATCATATTATTCCCTAATAATATTACATACATTAATTATCTCATGATAGTATTCTTAATACTATAATTATTGATTTTTTCATATAAGATTCAAAGACTTTTTCAAATTTCATTAAATCTTGAAAAAAGATTTTTCAATCAATATTATTTAAGAATATATAAAATATTTTATCTAATTTATCTAGGTGATGAATCATATTTTGATCACTCAAATATTTTCATATAATTCATATTATATTCAATATTTATTCATTTGTTATCCTTGATTAATACAAAGTATAATGGAAATCAAAACATAACATTTTTTATATAAAATAAATTAGTAATTTTAAGTCTAATAATTATTTACACAATGATCATGTTAGTCTTTTTATAAAGACAAGTAATTTCTTTATATAAAATTCTCATATGAGTCAATTTCATATAAATATCACATGACATGCACTTTCATATCAATTCAAAATATCTTTTATACTTAATAACATCTTTTATATATATATATATATATGAAAAATAATATTTATCAATCTTAACAAATTTAATTAACATTCAATCTTAATAAAACATTGATGAATATTTTTTATCAATACTTTGATACAATAAAAATTATTATAATTGTACCTATTCTATAATTTTTTTTATAAAATATTTTTATTCCAATATCTTTATCTTTATTTTAATAAACCAAATAGTTAACAAAACATATAAACTAACAAATGATTAAAATTAATTAATTTTTTTTATAGCTTTTGATAAATTCACCTCCACTTAATCTTTTTTCTAGAGAAAACAACTGTGGTTCATATATGGATAAGCGTGAAACAATTTACAAGACAAGGACAAAGTGCTCATTTGGCATACGTGCATGCACGAAAAGAACAGGCTTTTTCTTGCTTACAACTCGAAGGGCAGCTTGGTTGGTTCTACTATCATATAATTCATATTCATATTTAACATTTCTTCCAGAGAATGGAGAAGAAAATAAAAGTAAATATACTTTTCCTTTTCATTTCTTTATCCTTTTGTATCAAACATCACAGGTCTTGAAAGGATGCTATGGGGAGAGAAACAGGTTTCAAAGCTCAAATCTTTGCTTGCACTTTCATTTAAAATTACCACCAATCAAGGAACTAGATCAAAGGGAAATCCACTAAGCCTGTATTAAGAGAAAATACTCTGAAGAGCATAAAGCCACTATATGGAAGAAATGCAGCATAAATCTTAAGAATCTGCAATCGGCAGGATACTTTAATATAAACTTTAAATCTTTATCGAGATTCCACATTTTGGAATGCTTTCCATATTCTCAGTAGCAAAAACAGGCGAGCAACAACAAATAATTTTCCCAAACTATTAGAAACAATAGTTTATTTTTACAATTTGCAGAAATTCACAACACCTGGACAAGGAACATGTTACCAAAAGTAGCATCTATGAAAAACAAAGGTCTTATTTGTAGAGAGGCAGGCAGTTTAAGATTCCTGCAAATACACAACAAGCTTCTTCAACTCTACCGTTAAAGGGCCAAGTCAACATAAGCAGGCATTAGGTGCACTTCATTTTCAAACGCAGAAGAAACTGAAGATATGCAATGCTATTTGTTAACAGCTTTTGTGCTGGGAAATGGGATGAGTTCAAGCAAGGACTAAGCTACTGAAAAACTTGTAGTCATTCAATGGAACTGCGGTTGCAGGAGACAACTGCAATTTACTCCATAAAGAATTTGTGGCAATTTCAGTTACCTCCTTCCCTCCAGAATAATCAGTCTCCCCAATTTACAATTGCCTAAAATACATGACACATTCTGCTTATCTACCCACAAAGCTACTTTAGCACATAAATTTGATAAAACTAACAATATTTTTCAACAGGCGTGGGTTGTGAGGGGTTTTATCGCAGAAGGAAGATTATTCCAAGAATCTGAGTACAACCCAACAATATTTTTCCTGAATAATTCAACGCATCACCATATCTTTGTTCGCACCTTTAGGAAACTTGAACCTTGGATTCTGCTCCATAAATGCTGGTGGCCGTTGGAAGACCACTGAAGCAGCTTTAATCAAAACCCCAGCAGTTAAACCCCATATCAAATACTTTTTATCCTCTGTTTCATAGTCAAAGAATTGAATCAGATACTTTTCTCCCATCCATTCACTCTCCTCTACTCGTCGATTTTCATCCTGAACAAAACATTTGATTTCATATTCTTTTTAAAGAAACCTAATGATTAAGTCAACTAATTAAAGTGAAAAAGGTGAACCTTGATGAACATTTCCAAGGGAGCATCAAATACTGCTTCCACTTCAGCCAGATTTGGAGTGGGCTTGAATGCCTGCTTATTGGAGAGGATGCCTATAACAGGAATTACTCTGAGGAGGTGCTGCAAGAAAAGCAATCATTGCTAAAACAGAAAAATAAAGACAAAAGCAGCTTAATTTTCTTTGATGTCTAACAGACATATTTATCACACAACTCAAATGCTATACACCACCCATACAGACCCAAGCAATCTGTATATCATGCACATATCATAGCTATCAACAGAGTATCAAATTGATATTGATTTTAAAACAAAAGATGACTACATCACCATTTCATGTTGATTATCACGGTTGCATAACTGAAAATAGCTAGATAGCTAACAGATGAATCCTCTTGCACTCTTCTCAAATCTCACAGTTAGGAGGTTCACCTTACATATCCTGACTTTAGAAAAAAAACTTGTTATGGTCAAAGAAGAAAGCAAGAAGTACAATAGAAAAGAGCCACTAAACTTTCATAAGACTTTCATGTTACATAAATGATGAATGACAGTCTGGATTATGAAAAAATTAAAATTCCATTATGTGCATCCATGTTTGCCAGTCTAGTCTAGGAAGCATTCTAGCATCATCTTCATAACTTCCAGACATGATAAGTTAAACTTAGTAATTGAAACATCCGTTGACTACCTATTCTTTGACAGGTATAAAATACTTCATTTCAGATATACGAGGTCAACCACCATCACATAATAACACGGGGAGAAGAGGTATTATCAAGACCACTTATAAGAAGAATAGTGGTGGGTGACATTTTCTAGGAACTGTCAAAACATCATGTGGTAAATCATTATTCAAGTTGTGAAAAACAGGTTGTCCAGGTCTAAGCGGCTGAAAGAGGTTGCTGCAAGTACTAGATTTTCAGATATTTGTCAGTTAATTGTTTTTGCTTCTTGTTTAGTTGTCTCTTTGTACAATCATTGTTGTAATGAGGATGATATCATGTGCCAAGTTGTTTCTTGATCAATGAAGGTTTCATTTATCAAAAAAGAAAAGAAGTAAAAGTGGAAATAAGTCCTGCCTGGAAAATCTTTATGAGCCCATCAAATTTCTGCCACTCACATCCTTATTCATACAAACCAGCCTTCTCCCCCTCCAAACACCTAATAAGAGTAAAGAGAAGAAATTTCACTATTTACCCCTCAATGACAGGGACTAATCACAAGATTCATCAAGGTTTTGGACTCTAATTCCTGCTGGTAATCTTGTGTTTGTCCACATTTCATTCCACAAGGTCAGAGGTGGTCTAAACCACAAATTGCCAACCAGTATTATAAGAATAACTCCCCCATTCCAAGCAAATTTTGAGACAATCATACAGGTTAATCAGTCAAATGAAATAATATGGAAATCAGCAGAAATCATAATCCATAGAAATAAGGAAAGTCCACCATAAATGTTGAGAACATAGAACAAGTACCTTTTCATACCTTAGACAGAAATGGTTCAAGAACGGTAACAACATCCACAAGTGAGGGATCCAACCCAATTTCCTCCTTCGCCTCTCTTGTTGCTGTTTCAAAATCATCCTTATCTCTCTCATCTACTTTCCCACCGGGTAATGAAACTTCACCTGCAACCAAAAATACCCACTTAGTGGAATGACCAACTAACAACTATCACCCATACCTCTCATCAGTGCCGCTATTACATTTTCACTACTCAGTCACAAATATGAGAAAAGAAAAGCAATTTTCAATCTCAAGTCTTTATTAGCAAATGATAACCAATAGCTTTGCATAATACAAGACTCGTATTGTCCCACTACCTTAACCTCTCTAGTGAATCATTAAGTTTTTGAAATTTTATCTCTAGGTTTTATCAAATAATCGAGATGTTGTTCAATTGCGTTCAACAACTTTTGCTCTATTTGATTCCTTCAACGTTGCATGAAAGAGACAAAATGATTCAAATTTTAAAACTTTTGGGTTTTAGCATTTGTTTAAGTATGTAATAACTCAGCCGAGATGAGTTCAAATAATTTGAACTTGGGAGAAAAGCTCAAAAGAGAGCAATCAGGTTCAACACATTTTATCTTCCACAGTCTTACCCGTCTCTATCCAGTCTAACCAATCAAGTTGAGAAGTATCATTTAAGAGCTACATTATGCATAAACTACAACAGTGAAAAATTATCTACGTGAATTGCCCTTAAACTCTATTTCTTATCATGAATTAAAAAAGAAATGAAAATCTTGGCACATGCATCCCACCAAATAAAGAGCATCCAAAAGTCAGCCAGCCTAGATAACCGTTCAACTGAATTGACAACAAATCCCCAGAGCTAAAGAAAAATTAAAAAAAAAAAAGAAAGTCAGCAAGCAAACAGCATTCAAAAACTCCAATTCTCAAAAGAAAGAAAATCCACAAACCTGAATGAGTAGACAATCTGGAGGATCTCTTAGTCAAAATAACACGAAATTCACCAGCATCACCTTCAAAGATGCAGACCAAAACAGCAGCTCTTTTGGGTCTAAACCTTTCAGGGTCTTTAAAAATTGAGGTTGCAGATTCTTGAAAACCCACTTGGGAAACAACTTTACCAGCACTTTCCTCTATGTTTTGCTCTTCAATTTCATCTGGTGATGGAGAGGGTGGCTTGTAGAAGCGAAGCTGCTGGGCTAAAGCCACAAGCCTTTGTGATCCATAAGAGTCCATGACTGTTGGTGCTTTATGCAGTAGAGAAGATAGTAATAGCTTTGTTCTCAACAAAGAAATTATGGAGTGATGATTTTTGGCATTATATATATTACTTGCAAGGAGGATTAGCTTTGCTGTGGTTGTGATTATTGTTACTATGAATTAAAGTAAGGAGCTCTTTTTTTTAGGTTTAATTTATATAATGTTTATTTCTTTTTTTACCCCATCATTCTCAATACTTATTATTATTTCATTTTAGATTTAAATAATTACTTGAAAGAGTTTTCATTATTGAAATTATAAAATAAAAAATATATTTATTTAGTTAAAATTTTACCCTCTTAATTATACATTTTATTATTGACCAAAAACATGATTGTTTTTTTATCAACATCATGGTTTTTTTAAATACAAATTTAAGGCAATTTAAAGAATTCATATAATATAAATTTAAGACAAAAAAAATTTCTTTAGAAAAAAATTGTTTTTTTATTTTTTTATTTTGAAAAACAATACTTTTTTATTAGAAATTTGTTATTTTTATTAAACTTATCATGATAGGTAAAGAAATTATAAACCAAGAAACAAAGAACAATGTCTTGATTATTCTTATATAATTATATAAAAAATAATATTTTGAGTTTCATTTATATTATAGTAATAATTAATTTTTAAAATAATTTTTAATTAAAAATACATCAAACTAATATTTAAAAAAAATTATTTTTAATATTATCATATCAAAACAATCTAAAAACTTAAAATTAAAAAAATAAACTAATTTAAAATTAAAAAATCAAATGTAAAGCACAGTCATACCACAAAAATAAACATACCCTATATAGTTTGTTTTATATTGTAAATATTATTTTTAGTAAGACTTTATATAGATAATTATATCAATTATGTCTTTAATTTTTATAGTTTATATAAAAATCATATGTAATTCACTTGAAAATTTCCAGTTAATTTGAATCACATATCACAATTTTAGCTAATTGTTTGTATAGAAAAACAAACAAATAGCTATGCTATCTTAGAAACATGAGGCAAACATGTTTCATTATGATTTAAAATTTATGTTAAACATATTTGTTTGTCATGTATCAATTAAACATACAATAAAATAATTACTAAATTATGAATTCAACTAGCATTTTTAAATTTCCAAGAGGAGAACTATTTTGTTTTAAAAATTCAACTTATAGTTTAAGTACAGTTTATTTGAACACTACTCTATCATAGAAAGTCCTATTTGCAATCTAACTAATAATTAAAAACATTAAAAGTACAATTATGTACGGAAGAACTTATTAGAGGCAATATTTAAAATAGAAAGATGGGCATTTTTTACATCAAAATACATTATTTACAAGTCATAAGACTTTTCAATTTGTTTGGATAATAAGTGTGTGTTTAAAAGGACTTATTAATAAAATATTTTTTATTTAAAAATTAAATTAGCGAAATTAGAGATATAAAAATTGATTGAGAACTCATTTTATTAAATATTAGAGTAAAATATTATTTCTCTTACAATAACAACAATAATAATAATAATTAATTTTTATATTTTAATGTTGTAATAACTTATTCTCTTGAATTCTTATAAAAATTATTTAAAAAAATTTTTTTATTTTTTTTTCAAAATAACACTTTTCAATTTTTTTCTTGAGAAGCATCATCTAAAAAGTTCTTTTTTTTTTTTGGGGGGGGGGGGGGGGCATAACATACTTAATGACTTGTTTTATTGGGAATAACACAACCACATTGATTATATTATTTTCAACAGTGTAATTCAATAGATTAAATTGTTGGAAACAACCTAACTTATTGATGTATTTTTTTTATTTTTAAGTTTAATTTAAAATTTTAAACAATACTTTATCCTCTACAAATTAAAATAACTGGTTTATTGATGTCATTTTATTCTCAATAGTAATTAATTTGAATTCTTGCAAAATTAAAAAAAAAAAAAACAGCGAAAAACAACCATTATTATAAATCTTTGAATTGGTGAAAGCTATAAAACAAGAAACTGAGGCCGGTATGGAAGTTGGCATAAATTTTTTCATGAAGCCAGCAAAAGGGTGCAATCATAAATCTCATGAACCACCAAAACCAAGTGAATTTCCTTTTTCTTGTTACCGATCCAGCACCATAAATGAAAGAATTATTGCCCCATATCAGGCCTATCCTCTACTGTTGACAGTCCAAACACACCAGTGCGATGCACGCCATAATACTAGCTGGACTTGTTTACCAAGGCATCAGTTCAAGCAATGTGCTTCTGATGTTATTATCAAGTTGAAGGATTCTTCATCTTTTTAAGTGGAAATAAAACTGCTGACAAAGAATCTTGGCACTTGAGAAAGAATGTAATTTGCAGAACCTCGAGCCAACTTTTCAAACCAGACAGATGAGCTTATTGACAACTTGCATTCATGACAGAACTAGAGACAACCACAATCATCCAACTGATAAGAATGAATTGCACCAGTAATGTAGCGAAAATGATCTGCAATGAAAGATGCAAAGGTCTCTCGCAGCACAAGGATTCTCAAAAAGTGACACTAACTAATGGTGAGGAACTTTACAGAGCAACTGAAGAATGATAAGATTTCTAAAAATACATCATGGATTCACCACCAAGAAAATTCTGTCTATTTACACCACAAATACGTATGAACTTCCAAAATAGAAAAAGTAAAAACACATCAAGGAGAACAATAAACATGGAGAAGAATGACAATTGTCATTCACAAATGCAGGCCTGATCTACAGTTTCTGTGCTATATGCAAAAGCATTTCACTATCACATCACTCCCATTGTAAAAAACATCAGTAATGAGAATAAAAGAACTTTCCCTTTTCTTATCTAAAACAAAAATGACCGAAAATAGAACAAGCCCTTCTGATCCATACTTTTGCTTCGCATTAAGATACCAACTGTTCACGTTTATTGTTTGCTGCATCAGATTTAATGCTTCCCTCAAGTGAAACCCTTTTTTCAGCTGGTGGGTAAGATAATCTCTGCGCTGTTGGATTTCCTTTCCCATTAAATAATGATGGTTTAGATGAAACTGGTGTTTTTCTGGTTGGCAACTTTGTCGTTTCATCAACCTTATTAGCCTGCCTACTCTTCATTTTCTTTGGACTAACAGACTTGGCAGCGGCACGGCTTTCCCATGGTCGAGCAGCAATCCAACGTTCCTTCCAACTCCAGCCCCAATAAGCTTTCCCAAGTTCATAATTAACCACCCCAAGGTCATGACCGTAGCTGGCCCTCCACTGTATTTCATGGGGTTTTTATGGTGATTTCCAATTTGTTTTTGTCCCTTCCAGAAAACTATAATGAAAAATAACGTTTCAGAATTTGAAATACCTGATGAGAAAAGGCATATGCCATTGCTCGTTCCCGCTTAACTGCTGCTTCCTCCCTCTGATGTATTCTTGCAAGGATTTTCTCCATTGTTTCAGAGCCACCACTCCAGTCAACCTGTCATTCGTTTCAACTAGTACTCTTAGAGAAATATGGCCTCATATGGTAAGTGGAGCGTAGAATAATTTATGGACATCAACACAATAAAGTTTGAACATTCGATTCCTAATAAAAGATTAATTAAGTGACCTTCATCATTATTTTTTTACACTCAACAGCACGTACATGGCTGTTACATTGCAGACACATGAACAATTTCAGAACTGCAAAGTGTGGCAAGTCTTAAAGGACCCAAAGTTCCACAGATGAAACTCCATATAATAGTTCCACATGAGCCTTCCCTTATGGAAAACAAAGAGACCTACATAACTACAACATCCATCAACTCTATATCGATGTGAAAGAAAATCAGTTTTTAGTTTGCTTGACAATATACGCATTAATTTTTTTTTCTAACCTCCAGATCATGAAGCTTTGCCTCAAGTTTTAGTTGATTCTCTAACTTCTTCTGTCTTAACCGGCTTTCTGTAACCATACAGAGTCTACGGGCTCTAATCTGGGCCTGTATTTTGCTCCATGAGTGAAGGTAGTTCAAAGTAGTTGCAGCTTGCTTTTTGAAAGAATAATTCTGGGTGATGATCTGTAATCTCACTTTACCTTTCAAACAGCGAAGAGTTTTCCTAGCCTGCATCATCAGGAAATGATTTAATGAACAATTGCACATTCATATGTGCATCTCTCTCCATTTATATGCATATCCATGGGTTGCTCATGTTGTACAGACAATGGACATACCCTGTAAGCCCTGAATGCTGTTTGAATCCGAGTGGCAGCCAAATCCTCAACTGGCATGTCAGGAAATCTGGGATTGGCCCTATTGGAACCATTTGCAAAACTTGCAGATTCTTTTCGCAGCTTGTTCTTCCATGTGAAGCCATTTGATTTTGCAGAAGTTGAAGACCCCTGTTCAGATTGCAGGAACAGATGTGGTAACATCTAATAGATCCAAAAAGAAAAAACTTCTTTGCCATCATCCTAACAACAACAATTCCAACAATAAACATATCTACCTTGAAATAATCTTGAATCAGCAGTTGTTTACAATTAAAGAATTGAATGGCCAGATTACAATAAACCTCAATAGAGTAAGGAATCTGGATTCATTATGAAAATATAAATAAGGAGCAAAATATATTTACAGCAGATTAACTTTGGATGATTCAATACCTTTGCTTGTTTTGAGGTGTCATCCTTCACTTTCTTTATGCTAATTATTGTCTTAAACCAATCTCCAGAACCCATTGTAGATGTCAGATGTCTGCTTCCAACTTAACATAAACCTGGCGGTAAAATATAAACAGCATCAGCATTTTGTACATTTTGCAAAAGTTACATAGCACTCAAAACATCCATTCCTTCCATTTCTTGGTTAGCCAAATATACAGGCAAGTGAAACTGAACTGGGAGACATACAAAACCATAAAAAACAATAAAGGAAACAAAATTGTATCAAATACTGCAGTATTGAAAATGTTAGCATCTGACTGACTGTTCTACCTCTCAAAAGGAAATTTGAGTTCATATAGTTAAACAACCAATTGATCATGGAAACTAACTGCAGATTTCCAAAATATTATAGCTTATTCCATCTCATCAGCTTGCAACAAACATTCAATTCCTCTTCTCTCCCAACCAGCAAAGAAGTAGAATCTCGGAAATAATCCCTCTATTCAACAACAAAACTCATTAATTTTTAATACTTAATCATATTAAGCAAGAACTAGATTCAAAACAAATCTGATTGAGACAAATGAATTCAACAGAAACTACAACATCCAGATCTCACCCCATCTTTCATTGTCAACAAATGGAATTCTCAAATCACATTGGTCAATCTAAAAGTCAAAGCCCAAAGAAGAGTTGTTTCTGAAAGAAAAAAACAGAAACATAAAATCTTGGCATGTAAGCCATACCTGAGAAGCCAGTACTGTATGGAAATGGGCAGTCAAGTTTTCGTGGGAAAACAAAGGTGGTGGTGACAATAGTACTTGTAGTAAAGAAGAAGCAGAGTCCTGAAAAAGAAAAAGGAAAAAGAAAAAGAAAAGGAAAGAGCAATGGGTGATGAGATTCCTACGGCCCCATGGCCAGCATTTTTTATTTTCCTATCCAAAAACGTTCACCAGCAAATATTTGACAATTTTGAAAATATAAACAATATCATAAAATCCCATTGTCCCTCAATAAGGATCCAACAACTACCATGTTGTTTGTCATTTGTGGGTGGTGTAATGTTGGCTGCGTGTTTTTTTGGGTTTGAATAATTCAACAGTAGAAGGCTAGCAGTGACAGGTGAACAAACCATGACAAGGTTTGATAAAATGGTAGATGGTTGTTTAATTGCCTCTTTAATTTTTTGTCATATTCTATTGATTTTAAAAATTAAATTTTGTTGGTTGCATTGTTTTAAAACATGGATTAGACTGGCTATCGACTCGGCTAAATCAAGGTTTGAACCTGTTCAAATAGAAAAAAAAAGAAAAAAGAAAAAAACTCATTTAATTTAATTATAATCAAGGTTGCACTTATGATCACATTAATCCGGTCATAGCTCGACCATCAATTAGTTAATTATTTTAATTTTTTATCAAAACTATATTATTTTAATTCTTAAAAAAATATTTTTTTATTAATTTTTCTAACTTATAACTCGAATTTTTCCTAAATTAATTCTCGAGTTGAATTTTAAAATTATAATTTTTTATAGTAACTAAATTTAATAACCATGTTTAAAAAAAATTTATATTTTCAATTTAATTTAATTGCTATATTTTTTTAGACTCTAAACAAAATAACAAGTTAATTAAATGAACTTCAAAAATTTAGAGAATGTTTGGTATTATTTATGGTTGTTATTTTTTTATTTTATTTTTTTATTTTTTATTATAAAATAGAAAACTTATCTATTTTAAATTGTTTTTATTAAAAACAAGAAAAACCAATAATAAACTTCTGCATTTTGATAATTTTTAACAATTGTTGCTAGTTTCTTGTGTTTGGAAAAAAAAATTGTTCCTATTTTCAAATTTAGTTCTTTAAAATTAAATAAAAAACCAAAAATGAAATCAAACGTATCTTCTAATTATAAAAGAAAAAACTTCGAAACTATAGTGATGATGTCCCAAAAAATCTAAGTATCTTGGGGGCAAAACTTGTATCTTGAATAATCGGTTAATCTCTTAGTTCTAACAATGTAAATTATTATCTTTAGCCAAGGTTACTAGTCACTAGTGTTTGGTATTTGTTAAGTCAAGGTAGCCAGTAACCAGTGCCTACAAAAAATTATTTTTGATAAATTTAAGGACTTTTTGATATTTAAGTAAATATTTTTTTTTAGAAAAAACAAATATATTTTAGAGAGAGATTTTGAAAATAAATATGTAATAAAGAATGGAGATTGAGAACCCATTTTTAAATATTGAAAGATAAAATTAAAAAAAAAGAATAAAATAACCAAAAAAAAGGAAAAAAACATATCTAGCCGGCGAGTGAACTCATCAAATCTATGAATCGAGTAGCATAAGTTAGCACACTAAACCTATGAGTCAGATTTTGGACTCTAGTGAGATTATAATTTATTTTTTTCTAAAATTATTTTTTATTTAACTATATGATAAAAAATAGATAGTCGCAAAATCAAATACCAACACAATACTGAGATGTTGAAAAAAAATAATTACAAAATAAAAACAAAAGTTAAACTCGTCAGATTTACAAACTAGGTCAACCAGCCAAACTTATAAACATATCCATGAATTTTGTAAAGTTTAATAATATAACTTTTCTTTAAAACTATTGTTTTGACAATATGATAAACAAATAGATGAAAAAAATCAAGTTCAGTAAAAAAAAGACATCCTAACAAACCAATTTTGGCTTTGTTACTTTTTTTCTTAAAAAAAATAAAATTAATAAAATTGATATGTATATATATATATATATATCAAGATATTTAGTATCGTAATATGGATCATTTACTTATTTGTGTTTAATTATTTTATTTATTAAAATCAATTTGAAATAAAAATCAACACCCACATAAGATTTATTAAATAAAATAAAAAGAAAAAAAATACTATTCATAGCTACATATATTAAAAATATTATGAAAAATAAATATTTTTTATTTCTAAAAATAAATTTAATATATATTTTAATCATACTAATTATTAAAAAATTAAACATATTTAAATTAATTAAAAAATAATAATTATTTAAAAAAGGATAAATGAGCAAAAAAATCATAGAGATGTGAAATACTAATTTAAAGATTATTTTTAAAAATATAAAAAAATTCTAAAATAAAAAAATAAAAACTATATAAAAAACTAAATAAAAAAATGAGGTCAGGTCAACTTGAGCCATCAAGGTAGATAAGTTTTTTAGATTGTGATATCGGAATAATGTAATAAGAAAAGAAACTCAAGAAAACTACAAAGTCATTTAACAAAAAACAATATTGAATGGTAATATATAAAAAAAAGATAAAATAAAAAAAATATCAACTTTTAACTCGAGTCATCAGACTTTAAGAACCAAACACGATATAATCATGAAACTTAATTTCTAGTAAATGAATTATTGAAGTATGAAACTGGAAAAACAATTACAAACAAAAAATCTAAAATTAAAAATAGAAATTAAAAGAATAAATGTTAAAATCAAAATAAATAATAAATTTAAGGGGAACAACAAGTTTCCACTTTGAGATTTAAATTGAAAAGAACAAAAACATTAAGTGAAGGAAAACAAAAGAAAAGGAATAAAGATGAAAAAAAATACACTATCATTTTGAATTTAAGGGTAAAATTAAAAACAATTAAATTTTTTAATGAAAAACAATAAATTATAAGAATAAGAATTAACTTGAAACACTAATACATGATATAAAAAAAATTGAATATGTAGAATTTTTCAATGTATTTTTTTAAATTAAAAAAATTATAAATGTAAATTGAAAAACTTATGTACTCATCCAATTAAATAAATAATAAACTAATGTGTAAATAAATAAATAAAAAGTCATTAATGATAAATAAAAATATAAGTGGAAAAAATTAAAAGACAAATCAAGATATTTAACATCATAACATGAGCTATTTAATTAGAATTGATTTAATGAATTTATTTACTAAAATTATTTTATAAAAGGGATCAACACATATATAAAATTTATTTAATAAAACTAAAAACATATTATATAAGACTGCACATAGTCAAACAATCATAAAAAAATTATTTAATCAAAATAAAATACATTAAAAATTATAGATGAGTTATACTAACTTTTTAACAAATTAAACGCACCCAATAATTAAAAATAATTGTTATTAAAAAAAGAGGCTAATAAGCAACAAATAAAAAAATCCTAAAGAAGATGTATTAATTAAAATATTAATTTATTTAAAAAACAGAATTGATTTAATGAATTTATTTACTAAAATCATTTTATAATAGAGATCAACATATATACAAAATTTATTTAATAAAACTAAAAAAAATATTATATAAGATTGTACATAGTCAAACAATCATAAAAAATTATTTAATCTAAATAAAATACATTAAAAATTATAGATGAGTTATACTAACTTTTTAACAAATTAAACGCACCCAATAATTAAAAATAATTGTTATTAAAAAAAAGGCTAATAAGCAACAAATAAAAAAAAATCCTAAAGAAGATGTATTAATTAAAATATTAATTTATTTAAAAAAACTTATAAAAACAAGTATTAATTAAAAAAATTTATAAAAGAAAAAAAAATGAGGCAGACCATTCACTTGACTCAAACAAATAGAGCCCAAGTGAGGGTTTGTAGTCTCTCTTTTTTTTTAGTTAAATGGACCGATGACATGTTATCTGTTTTAACGTGTTTTCTTTTAAAAAAGATGACATGTTATCCAAGATCTTAGAATTCAGCTATTGTGATGGTAACGAAAATAAAATCCATGATTGTTTCCTTTCAAAAACTCATTTTGAAACCCTATTTTTACTCAAAACATCTAGAAATCTTATTAAACCAAACCATGGCATCTGAAAAGTTCAAAAAACTAGCTTAAAACTCAAAATCAATCTGAAATTAAAAATTATTTAGAATTTAGATAAGTTTTTATAACTATTTTCAAGGTAAAAAAAAAACACATAATTTGAACTTTCTTGTTGTAAGTATATATTTTGGTGGCTTATATATCTTTTTCAATAATAATTTTTTTTTCTAAGATGAAATCTAATGATCTTTTTTTTTTTCTAAAAAAAAATAAAGTTTAAAACCCTATTTTTACTCCAAACATCTAGAAATCTTATTAAACCAAACCATGGCATCTGAAAAGTTCAAAAAACTAGCTTAAAACTCAAAATCAATCTGAAATTAAAAATTATTTAGAATTTAGATAAGTTTTTATAACTATTTTCAAGGTAAGAAAAAAAAAAACACATAATTTGAACTCTCTTGTTGTAAGTATATATTTTGGTGGTTTATATCTTTTCCAACAATAATTTTTTTTTTAAGATGAAATCTAATGATCCTTTTTTTTTTCAAAAAAATAAAAAATAAAGTTTGGTATCAAAATATATATATTTTTAAAAATTATAAGAATCAGGTACATAATTTCTTAAAAAACATACGAGGGATCAATATGAATTTTTCAAGCAAATTGCATACATGTCATTTATTTTATTACTTTAATTATTTTCCTTTTAATTCAATTTTCACTCCTGGTAAACTTGTAATTGAGTTCTGATTTTAGCTTAAAAAACTTTAATTATAGAAAAAAAAAATTTAAAAATGAAATTGAAAACTTTCATTGCTTTAATCTATAATAAAGTACAAGAGGATGAATAATAAGTTAATAAACAATGAAAAGCTCCCACGTTTTAGCTGTACACTTCATTAATATAATTGAAAGATAAGCAACTATTTACGTGATTCATTATTTGTGAGCTGGTGGCGGGCTTGAGGGTGCTGTGATTAGGAGTTAGGGTTCCTGTTTGCGAGCCGTAGACTGGTCAGAAACCAAAAAGAACTATAAGCAAATAGTGATTTATACTAATGGTCCCGGCGGGGCTCGAACCCGCGACCTTCGGCTCATAAGACCAACGCTCTAACCAACTGAGCTACGGGACCGTTACGGTAGATGAATTGTAGTTTTTATACTGTCAGCAAAAATATTTCCTTCTCTCCCTGTTCTTTAATAGATGAAATTATGAAAAGCAAAAGAAAAGTCCAAGTGCACTACGTTTATATTGTAGGAAGCATGGGTATTAAATCCGGAATAGTTTGATGGTTGATTCGGAATGTAATTGATTTGATGGTTAGATTAGTTTAGGTTTGTGAAAACACGAGTTGATGTAATGATCTAAATAAATTGGGTCGGCCTTTTAAATATAGTTTTTTTAAAATTAATTATTAATATTTTTTAAAGTCTATTATATAAATATTAGAAAAGTATTTTATTTTTTTAATATAAAATTTTATTTTTTTAATATATATATTCTATGTTAAAAAAAATTATTTTTTTAATGTGAGATTTGAAATCTTTTTGTATATATATTCTATATTAACAAAAAAAAACTATGTGTTTTTAATGTATGATTTAAAATTTTTTAGTTATGTATATATTATGTTCTCGAGAAAAAAGTTGTTTTTTTGAAAATAAGATTTGAAGTCTTTTTATATATATATATTTTATATTTATAAAAAAAAAGCTATGTTTTTTTAATATGAGATAAAAAAAATTTTGGTTTATTTTGGTTTAAATACTTTAACTTAAAAAGGATAACATAATATCTTTTTAATATAGGATTTGAAGCCCTTTAGTATATATACTTTATATTCACAAAAAAAATTATATTTTTTCAATATAGAATTTGAGACCATTAGTATATATATCTCTATTTTATTAAGAAAAAAATTATTTTTTTAATATAGAATTTAAAGTCATTTCGTATAAATACTCTATATTTACAAGAAAAAAATTATGTTTTTTAAATTTTAGGATAAAAAACTTTTTAGTTTAAATACTTCAACTTAAAAGTATAACATATTATCTTTTTAATGTAAAATTAAAAACTTTTTAAAGTATTCTTTTAAATTTTATTATTTACAATATGTATAGTCTATATTTATATTGATTTTTAAATTTTTTTTTATATAAAATATTAAAATTCTAAATATATTTTTTTAAAGTTTTTTAGGTTGATCGGATTAACCTATAAAATTCAAAACTTTATGTATTGGCCGGATCAACCTCTAATGGGTTTAATAACTTCTTCTTAACGATCTTTTTAATGGCCATAACACAAAAGTTTACCTCTGATTTACAGGATAAAAGCTAGGAAGTAGATATGTAGAGCCTGAACCTAAATAGGATAGATCATAATCACTGATTTCAAGCTAATATATATTGCTAATATTTGGGCTAGAAAGCCTCTTCAATTAATTATCGATCATTTTGATTTACACCTCTGATATTTTTGTTTTATTTCTAGTAGATGAACATTTAGATTAAGATTCTATATCTTGTTCACCTCATATAATCAAATGTTTCAATTGGGATTTAATAAAAGAGGTCCCAATCTAAGTACCGCAGACTTTAAAAATAAATAAATAAAAACTATAGAGTACCAATCAAAATATTCAATAAATCTAGAGATTATGAAATTCAAATATAACAAACAAACAAACAAATAAATAAATATCTTCCCCACTTCTCAATTCTCAACATCATTTCAAAGTAAAACTTAATTTTCAAAATATAAATACGGAACTTTGCTTGAGAAAGTTCCTTGTAATTTAAATGTAACGCAACAATAACGAAGAATTTATTGCTGAATTAAAATTTGGTGCAAAATTCTTGTTCCCAGTCCCCACATCAAAGTGGGCATGGAGATTGATGATCCATTGACTACAAACTCAGGAAAGCTTTGTGTTGGTTAAAGTAACTCAGGAAAGTAGATGATAAGGTAATAGATTACGTAGAGAGGAGAAAAACAGGCACCTTGGACCAGGTCATCATGGCCCACTTTAATACAGTGATGGTTGGAAATTAAGGTTGAATTTATTTTTTTGTGTTTTTTAATTGTTTTTATATATTAATATCAAAAATTAATTTAAATAAAAAATATTATTTTAATATATTTTAAAATAAAAATATTTTGAAAAATAACCTAAATCATATACTCAAACATATCCCTATTATAATATTGCTTTGGCTTAGTCGACTAGAAATTATAATACAATTTATAAATGCTTTTTTTTTTCTTATGGGAAAGTTGTAATTTGAGAGATCTTTTCTTTTTTACATTTGTTTTGGGCCAAGTTGATGGTTAATTTTGTCAGTATCGATTCTAGAACAAGATTAATTTTTATAATTAACCCTTTGAAAAGGCACATTACTGATTAATCATTACAAATTAGTGAACTTTTATTTTATTCATCACATATGAACTCTTACATTTCTTAAACAATTATTTCCCCAATGATAATCTAGAAACCCATTGACATAAAGTGAGTGAATTACTCCAGGTTCCGTTGCGTTTCTTCCATGCCGAACCTTCCTAGCGTTTAAGCGTGTTTAAGTGTGATTGTGATTTTTTTTAAAATATTTTTTATTTAAAAATAGACTAAAATAATATTTTTTACATTATTTTTAATATTGGTACATTAAAATAATTTTAAAATACTAAAAAAATATTAATTTAAAATAAAAAATAAAAAAATTAAATTAAAAAAATACTTTTAAAATACAAACTTTTTCAAGAAATGATGATATCAAGGAGCAAGTCCCTCATTTCTGTGGTACCAGGTTGTCTTTTCCAAGAAAGGACACTTGAATTTTCCTTTCATCTTTCTTTACTTGCGCAAATGGTAATATCTTGACCTTTAATCCTCATGCCAATATATAAATAATCCTTATAGTGCTAAGAGATCATGACCGCATCCTGAAGAGTCAAGATTGGGGTGCAAAAGTTTCCTGCTCCCAACATCTTCCAAAACCTCACCCAACATGCTCTGTTATTGAAAATGTGAACAACTTCTTTACACAAAAAATTGATCAGAAATCAAGAAAAACAAGAACTTGATCAACATCCCTTTCGTCTAACTATGGGTGGTTCTGATGATGATGATCACAAGAAAGGTGTCAACCAGAAGATCATGCTTGCCATGTTCTTGTGTTCTTTCGGCTTTGTGTTGCTGTTAGTTCTTCTCCATCTTTACTCTAGACATCGGCTAAGAAGACAGCAAAGGAGACACCATGCCATATTCTTTCATGGTCTAGGAAGGGAATCCACACCGGATATAGAAGAATCTATTGAGCCACAAAAGCGAGGGCTTGATCCTTTGGTCATATCCTCACTTCCTTTGTTCACATATAAGCTAGCTGACCAGACTGATCACGGTGAACCTGTGGAGTGCTCAATTTGCTTGGGTACAATAATGGAAGGAGACACGGTCAGGGTGTTACCAAATTGTAAACACACGTTTCATGTAGAGTGTATTGATATGTGGCTTGGGTCACATTCAACATGTCCCACATGTCGAACCGAAGCAGAGCCTATGATCCAGCCAGCCGGGGAGAAGGCCATGAACAGTGGTGCCGAACCTTCAGCTCCGCCTATAGAGGGAAATATGGTACATGGCGGTGATCAAATAGAGAAAGAAGGTGGATCAGAGTTGAGAGTAACATCTTTTCGCGGGATACCTACATGGGAGAGATAATCAAGGACTCGGAGCTGTAGAGATGAAAATATTGGTGCAGAGGAAGATGAATATTATGTCATAGGTATGTAATTCTTATAGTCTTTTGTTACCACTCGTTCTGTATCATTATTTTAATGAAGGTATATCAGAATCTGGGGAAGAGTCTGTGTAGATTCATTTCTTCATATTGAATCATGTCTTCTTTTTTTTTCGGAGTCTTATTTGAATGGTTTTCGTGGATAGGCTTTTCATGTAAAACAGAACAGATAGCATGATGTGAATTAATTCGCTTTAATGTTTGGTTCATTTGTGTATAATTTTCTATTAAGTTTCATGCATCATTGTTTTGCTGAAAAATTCATTTTCCCCCAAAGAAAAACACTTCGCAGCGCCTGATCATCATACGTGATGAACAAGCTTTATTTTTCAACTCTTGGGATGCTCATCATATGCGCCATTAAAGCATAGATATACTCATAGTTATCAAACACAGTCCAGAGCTAAAAAGCGACATTCTAGGTTTTATGGTCAACATGAGTTAATTTAAATTGACATAGATTAATTTAAAAAAATTAAAAAAATATTTAAAATTTTAATATTTTATATTAAAAAATTAAGAAAAAATATATATGAATATATATTATAAATAATAAATTTTTAATTTTTTTTATTTCACATTGAAAAGATATGTATTATACTTTTAAATTGAAGTATTTAAATTAAAATTAATTTTTATCCCACGTTAAAAAAAATATAACTTTTTTCTTGTAAACATAGAGAGTTTATATACTAAAGAACTTTAAATTCTATATTAAAAAATATAATATTATTTTTTTAAGTTGAAGTATTTAGACCAAAATTTTTTTTATTCCATGTTGAAAAAACATAACTTTTTTTTAATGAAAATATAGTATATATAAAAATGACTTCAAATCCTATATTGAAAAAAATAATTTTAAGAGTATATATACTAATAGGTTTCCAATCCTACATTGAAAAAACATAACTTTTTTTTCTTGTAAGCATAAAGTATATATAAGAAATGACTTCAAATTCTATATTGAAAAAATAACTTTTTATTAGGAACATGTGAGTATATATACTAAAAAATTTCAAATTTATTATTGATAAAACATAATTTTTTTTTTATGAACACATAGTATATATCTTAAAGGGCTTCAAATCCTATATTAAAAAAATATTATGTTATCCTTTTCTACAATCTTCACCCCTTTTAGTAGTCTTCACTCCTCAATTCAATAGTCGTAGCTTGTAAAAAAAATATTATTAATTAAATATATTTATAAATAAAAACAAATTCATTAAAAATATATGTAATTAAAATATTGTCAGTTAAACATGCACTTCATTGTGCTATTTGATTTTTTATTCCTTTTATTTAGATTAGGATTCTCTTAATATATATCGGACAACATATTTCTATCAATGGTTATTGATGAAGTTAAAGATAAATAAATTTGATTGGTAAATATCACCATAAAATATCAACAAAAAAATTTAACGGTATTTCTATTTATATTCATTAATTTTCTAGTAGTGATACAGATAAATTTTCTAGATGTTCTAATATGCTTATATATATATATATATATGTTTTTGTTCCATCATTTTTTTTTGTATTTTCTTTTTAAAAAAATATATATGAATATATATTATATATATATTATAAATAATAAATTTTTAAAATTTTTTTATTTCACATTGAAAAAATACTGTATTATATTTTTAAATTGAAATATTTAAATCAAAATTATTTTTTATTCCACATTAAAAAAATATAACTTTTTTCTTGTGAATATAGAGAGTTTATATACTAAATGACTTCAAATTCTATATTAAAAAGATATAATGTTATCCTTTTAAGTTGAAGTATTTAGACCAAAAATATTTTTCATTTCATGTTAAAAAAAACATAACTTTTTTTTTTTTTTATGAAAATAGAGTATATATAAGAAATGACTTCAAATCCCATATTGAAAAAAATAATTTTTTCTTGAAAACATAAGAATATATATATATATATATATATATATATATTAATAGGTTTCAAATCCTATATTGAAAAACATAACTTTTTTTCTTATAAACATAAAGTATATATAAGAAATGACTTCAAATCCTATATTAAAAAAATAACTTTTTATTAGAAACATATGAATATATATACTAATGGGTTTCAAATTTCACATTAAAAAAACATAATTTTTTTTTTATGAACATATAGTATATATATTAAAGAGCTTCAAATCCTATATTAAAAAAATATTATGTTATCCTTTTCCACAATCTTCATCCTTTTTTAGCCATCTTCACTCCTCATATTCAATAGTCATAACTTGTAAAAAAAATATTATCAATTAAATATATTTATAAATAATAAAAAATTCATTAAAAATATATGTGATTAAAATATTGTCAGTTAAACATGCATTTTATCGTGCTATTTGATTTTTTATTCCTTTTATTTAGATTAGGATTCTCTTAGTATATATTGAGAACATATTTCTATCAATGTTTATTGATGAAGTTAAAGATAAATAAATTCGATTGGTAAATATCATCGTAAAATAACAACAAAAAAATTTAATAATATTTCTATTTATATTCATCAATTTTCTAGTAATGATACAGACAAATTTTCTAGATGTTATAATATGTTTCTCTCTCTCTCTCTCTCTATATATATATATATATTTGTTTTTGTTCCATCATTTTTTTTTCGTATTTTCTCTTTTTCTTTTTCCTTTTTGTATTTTTTGGTTTATGCAGGCCCTAAAAGTAACTAACAACATAATAGTTGAGCTTGAATATAAAACCTTACACGAATGACATGCTTATTAAACTATAACCTGTGACCATCACCTCCAAAGTTTTTAAGAACTATTTTATGTTCTTCACATGCATCAACTGAATTTGAACCCAGCAAAATGTACAGTTACAATAAAAGGAGGGAAGTTCCTAGGTTTTCTGTTCATCAATAAAGAAATTTTGCAAACCCCAAGAAAAATATAGGCCACACTAATGTGACTTCGCTACACAGATTCATCTCACATCCAGGAGAATATTTACCTACCCTTCTTCAAAAGTCTGAACAACATTTCCAATTTTGAGTGGACTCCTAAAGAGTGCCAGAAGGCATTCGACAAGCTGAAGGCTCGTCTGTCTTCTTCAAAACCATGTCAAGGAAGAAAAATGTTTTGTTTTGTGATATTTGAAATATATATAATTTTAATCTGTTTCTTTAACATGTGTAACTTGAATTATATATAGTTTGTGGCATGATATTCTTCACACAGAAAAACTTCTTTGCATAGTTTGTGGCGTCATCTTCTTCACCAAACCCATCATCTGCTGTAATGTATCAGGCTATAGAGCCCTCTTCGAACCAGACATCAAACCACCATTCCAATTCTGTATAGCCAGAGGAGGACAAGGCTAGTTTAAGATTTGTTCTCACTACACGCATTTTAGCCACTTGTTTGTCCCCCTCAATTTACTTTTCTTTATTTTCTTTTATTGTTAGCAATTCATCACAAATTCTTATATAGGGTCTTTTCTTTATATTTCGCTTTATTCATATTTTTGTGTGCTTCCTTCCTATTTTTTTTCTACGATTTTTAAACCACCAAATTTCTTCTCATTATTACCAAATTAATGAAATCTAAGACGCTGTATCTCTGCACTAATCTTTGTGTGTTTTTCTTTTTCTAAAATTCTATTTATCTTTTTTGCACTTCCCTTCAATTGATTTGATCATCAAAACAATTGATGCATAGATGGTCGGCACAAAGCGATCAATCCCATTTTCTATGGAGGCCCCTCCAATTCCTCACCACTACAGAGTACCTGCATTTTCACCTCAATTGAGCAGACAAGACCATTCATTTTCATGTGGTAGTCACAACACAACTAATCTTGAACAAATGAAGGCAGTTTCCCTGTTAATTATCCTGGCTAGCTAGTGTAATGTTCCATGATAATATACGCTTTATTAAGTCGTCTCCAACTCAGGCATTTGGTAACATTTCCTTGTTGTTTTTTCTAAGAAGCGAGAGCATAGGTGTGGGAAGCGCAATACAAATTATGGAGTAGCCGAAGAAAATTTCCTCTTATTCGGCTCTTCAATGCTTCCTTCTTCATCAACTCTTATGTCTCAACAAGAACAGTCCAAACTGAAACATCCTTTCATTTTCCAAGTATTTGTAATAACCCTTTGTTTAGCTTCCAGCAATCTGGAAACAAACTTTAGCTTAAACAATGATGAGAGAGCTGAAACCAGAGGAGATGGTCGTGATCTCGACTTGGGGCTTTAAGTGGGAAGTCCCATCGGGCATTACAACTCTTAAAAGGGAATCTTAGTCGGCGTCTTGGATGATTTGGAATGACAAGAAATTCGACCATTTGGGCTAAGAGGATTCTACTAGATTTGGGAGCATGGATGAAAAGATTTGTTGCATTTCTCGGGTTTTTTTGTTTGAAGTTTTATGCATAGATTTGATCAGTTGAACCGAAGAACATTATCCCTGTTTATACATGAAGAGTGAAGCATGGGTTCTATGTTTTTGAGATTTAGGAGGGTATTTGAAAATATATTAGTAGTTATTTTTTAAAGTGTTTTTTTATTTGAAAATATATTAAAATAATATATTTTTTATTTTTTAAAATTATTTTTAATATTAACACATCAAAATAATTTCAAATACAAAAAAGATATTAATTTAAAATAAACAAATTAATCTTTTTAAATATTTTTAAAACATAAATACAAACAAAAATACCCTAAGCTTTTTATTAAACAATCTCTCAGAAACGATGTGAACATGGAGAGAGGTCGTACGCTTGAATTAATTAGAAGTGCGAGGACAACCATTTCTTTTCTTTTATGATAGTGAGTATGACTATCCTTATAACAAAAGAAATGCTTAGTAATTTTAATTACCAAATACAAGGGAATAAAGAATATTGAGGAAGATTTTACTGCTAGATATTGTTAGAATTAAAGTAATGTATTCAGGATCTTTTCATGGAGCAACAACGCACACCTAAGTGGGCCACAGAAAAAGAAAAGGGAATTAATCAACATCCAAACAAAACATCAATCCTTCAATTCTCTTTAACTAATCTCAATGGAAAATCAGATGGCGAAGGCACGTGACACGGGAAAAAATTGTTGAATTATAAAATAAACAATTTACAGACAGTATAGAAGCAAAAAAAACTCAAAGTAACTTATAATTGCACCACCACCAATAATAATAATTAAAAAAAATAACAAGAATTATCTTGAAAATTTTATTTATTTTTATGTTTTAAAAATATTTTTTAAATAAATTATTTTTTTAAATATATATATTTTTATTGTTTTTAAATTGATGTGCCGAAGTTAAAAATAAATAAATAAATATTATTTTAATATATTTTTAAATAAAAATTACTTTAAAATAAAACCACTATCATAATATTAAACCAGGTATAAGGTTGTTATAAATGCTTTTTTAACACAACACAGAATATATAATATAAACTCAAATTATAAACTTGAATTGTAAAATTACAAGTAAAATAGTTTAATTAATTATATATTAATAATTTCAATTAAATTTTAATTAATAATATAATAAAATTAAAATAAACAATAGAAAAGTCCAAACACTAAACGAGTCCCTTCAAATTTTAATAAACCATTTAATATTAATTACTCTGAGAATCAAGTATGCTAATTTATAATTTTTATTCTATATATTTGCCAGTTAAAACATAGTAATATATCAATTGATATGTTAATAGTTTACACAAGAAATCATGAAGAATGAATAGGTATTTTAATTTTATGAAAATAAAATTTATAAATAACTTGTATCATTAAAAAAATTATAATAATTATAGTAAAAATCAAGCCCTAGATTGAGTATCAAATTGCACAAGTTTTGCAAAATATAAATTTTAAAAAATAAAAATATTAAGGTACAAATTACTAAAATATATAATTTTATATTTTTTTCAAACTTGTAAAATCGATCGGATTATATCGTGTTTGAACAATTTAACTAATTTTCAAATTTTAATCTAATTTGATACATTAAATATATGTTAATTTATAAAATTATAAAAATAAATTTATTTTTTTAACAACATTGATCAGGTATATCAACAATAACAGGAAACACCAATGACATCCAATTTGAAATAAAATAATTATAAGTTTATTTGGAAGTATAATGATAATTATTTTTTAAAAGATTTTTTTATAAAAAATATATTAAAATAATATTTTTTTATATTTTAAAAAATATTTTTTATATGTCAAAATAATATAAAAATATTATTTTAAAATAAAAAAATAAAAAAATTATTTGAATTTTTTTTTTTAAATATAAAAATAAGCAAATCCAATACCTCCCAGCCACAATAGATTATTTTAAAATAAAAAAATAAAAAAATTATTTGAATTTTTTTTTTTAAATATAAAAAAAAATAATATTTATACCTCCCAGCCACAATAGCTCCCAGCCACAAACAAGCCTCTCTATAGCAGAAAAGAACCGACACAAAAGGGGAAGAAAAGATCCAAGACCATCCAAATTGCAAAGAAACCCAACAAATATGAATTCCAGCCGAAACCAGATGATGGACATAAAGACGGGCAACAGTGAACCAAAAATCTAGTTAGAGACTCAAAGGCCCAAACTCTCTCAATGAATAGGAACGTGGCAAGGAAATGGAAAGTGGGGTGTGAGTTTAATGCAAAATCATTGCACACCCATCAACCATTCGAGGAAAAGGCGCACTGAACCTGCAAAACAACTCAATCTCGCGCCAACTACGAGTAATAAAATGCACCAGCTCCCAGCCATGCCGAAGCAAGTCGCCGCTGCCAAGACATCCAAGAGACAAACCTACCAAAACTGATGTGCTAGTCCATCCCAAGCTGCAAATCTGAAAGGAATTTGAGAACCCAAGAGAAAAGATGTGAGATTTCACATGAGACAGTCGAGATGAACTGCAGGCCACAGTGGATTTATGATGTCTTTTATTTTATTTTTTAATTGTAATGTAATAAACAAAAACTGAACAAATTCTCTTAGCCTAGCGAGTAGGCTACAAATTGGCAAACTCTTTTGTCTCTAGAAACATAGGAGGCGCATGAAGATCTGATATTTTTATTTTTATTAAATAATATTTATATAATTTTATTTATTAACAATAAAATAATATTTTTAATTTAATTTATATATATTTTATTTATTTTTAGGTTAAGACTAAACATTCATAATAAACATATCATTCAGAATTCTAATCTCCTTTTCGTGTTTCATCTTAATTATTTTAACATGGTATTAGAGCTGATTTTATAGAACGAGACTTAAATTCAAACACAAGTTCGCGGATCCAACTAATCATAATAAAATTTTTTGGAGTGAGATTTTGTCTTCCACTTCTGCAAAAAAATTTGGTATTTCGTCGTTCTTTCAATCTTTGAAATTTGATATTTGTATTCAGTTTTTATAATTATTTTGGTATTTCATTAAGAAGATATTTGTTTAGTTTCTATAATCTCTATTCAGTTTTTGCAATTTGATATTTTGTTTTTCGCTGCTTTTGCATTCTGGTTCTCAGTGACTGTTGATTATGGCTACTGAAAGAGATGATTCGCTTCAGTCTGTAAGTGTGAGGCTGGATGGGAAGAACTATTCGTATTAGAGTTATGTAATGAGAAATTTCCTTAATGGTAAGAAGATGTGGGGGTATGTTAGTGGAACTTATATGATACCTAAGAATATTGAGGAGGGGGATGTTATTTTAATAGATACATGAGAAGCAAATAATGCCAAGATCATTACTTGGATCAACAATTCTGTTGAGCATTCGATAGGTACGCAGTTGGTGAAGTATGAGACAACAAAAGAGGTTTGGGATCATCTGCAAAGGTTATTCACATAATTGAATTTTGCAAAACAGTATCAATTAGAGAATGACAAACGAGCTCTTCATCAGAAGAATATGAGTATTCAAGAGTTTTATTCTGTTATGATAGATCTTTGGAATCAATTGGCTCTTATAGAATCAACAGAATTAAAGGCACGTGGTGCCTATATTGAGCGTAGAGAGCAATAACGATTGGTACCGTTTTTAACAGCACTTCATAGTGATTTCGAAGGACTCAGACGTTCAATTCTACATCGTTCTCCATTGCCTTCTGTTGACTCTGTTGTTAGTGAGTTATTGGCTGAAGAAATACGTCTTTAGTCTTATTCTGAAAAAGAAATTCTTTTTGCTTCAAATCCTTTGGTATTAGCAGTACCTTCTAAGTCATTTTCTAATCATCAGAACAAGTCTTACACAAGAGTTGGTTTTGATGAGTGCAATTTCTGTGAGCAGAAAGGTTATTAGAATGCTTAGTGTTCTAAGTTGAGACATCAGAATCAAGTTTGGAAGTCTGGTAGCCAGTCACAATCTAATACTCATAGACCACCTCAGGGTTATAAACTACCACACCACAATACAGTAGTAGTAGCTTTCCCAGGCTCTATTAGTGATCCTAATACTTTGGCTGAGCAATTTCAAAAGTTCTCTCTTTGCAACCACAAGCAATGTCCACTTCTTCTTCCATAGGTCAGTTGCCTCATAATTCCTCAGGTATGTCACACTCTGAATGGGTCTTGGATTCTGGAGCTTCCTATCATATGTCTCCAGATTCTTCATCTTTTACCTTTGTGTCCCCTTTGTCCTCCATTTCTGTTATGACTGCTGTTGACATTCCTATACCCTTAGCAGGTGTTGGTTCTGTTGTCACACCTCACTTGTCTCTCCCTAATGTTTATTTTATTCCAAAACTCAAATTGAATCTTGCATCTGTTGGTCAAATATGTGATTTTGGTGATTATTTAGTCATGTTTTCTGGTTTTTTTTGTTGTTGTGTACAAGATCTGTAGTCTTAGAAGCTGATTGGAACAGGCCGTAGGGAGAATGGACTATATATTTTGGATAAGTTAAAAATACTAGTTGCTGCTGCTGCCGCTGCTACTATTACTGTTGATTTGTCTTCTTTTCGTTTGAGTCTTTTATCTTCTAGTTTTTATTTATGGCATTCCCATCTAGGTCATGTTTTGTCTTCTTGTTTGAGATTTTTGGCATCCACAGGAGCTTTAGGAAATTTGAAAACTTGTGACATTTCTGATTGTAATGGATGTAAACTAGCAAAATTTTCCGCTTTACCTTTTAATCAAAGTATTTCTGTTTGCTCTTCACCATTTTATTTAATTCATTCTAATGTATGAGGACCTTCTTCTGTTGCCACAAAAGGAGGGTCTCAATATTATGTCTCTTTTATTGATGATCATACTCGTTATTATTGGGGTTATTTAATGAAATATCGTTATGAATTCTTTGAGATATATATAGCTTTTCAAGCTCTTATCAAAACTCAATATTCTGCTATGATCAAATGCTTTAGGTGTGATTTGGGTGGGAAATACACCTCTAATAATTTTTCCAATTTCTTACCTTAGATGGAACCATCTACCAAATTTCATATACAAATACCCCTGAGCAAAATGGTGTTGCTAAAAGAAAACATAGGCACATTATCAAAACTGCTTGTTCTCTTTTGTTGTCTGCTTTTGTTCCTAGTGAGATTTAGGGAGAAGCTATTCTTACTGCTGTAAGTTTGATTAATACGATTCCATCTTTTCATAGTTCGTGTCTATCTTCTTTTGAAAAGTTATATGGGTATGTCCTTGATTATTCATCATTTAGAGTCTTTGGTTGTACTTGTTTCGTTCTTCGTCCTTATGTAGAACGCAGTAAGTTATCCTCTTGATCGTTATTTATGTCTTTCTAGGTTATAGTGAAGGTAAAAAGGGGTATCGTTATTTTGATCCAATAACTCAAAAACTTTATGTGTCTCGTCATGTTGTCTTCCTTAAGCAGATACCTTTCTTTTCTATTACATCCAGTACTCATAGCCTGACTAAAACTGATCTTATTTATATAGATCCCTTTTTCTGAGGATTCTAGTAATGATACCTCTCCCCATGTTCGATCAATTTGTACTCATAACTTTGCAGGTACTGGTACTTTAATCCTTAGCACACCTGAAGCTCTATTCTCATCGACAGCCCTTCAAGCTTCATCTGAGATTGTAGATCCACCTCTACGTTAGTCCATCCGCATTCGTAAGTCCACAAAACTACCAGATTTTTCTTATTCTTGTTATTCTTCATCATTTACTTCCTTTTTAGCTTCTATTCATTATTTCTTTGAGCCCTCTTCTTATAAAGATGCAATTCTTGATTCGCTTTGGTAGCAAGCTATGGATGAGGAACTTTCAGCTTTGCATAAGACAGATAATTGGGATTTGATTCCTCTACCTCCTAGTAAGAGTTTTGTTGGTTGTCGTTGGGTGTATAAGATCAAGACTAATTCTAATGGGTCTATTGAGCGATACAAAGCTAGGCTGGTTGCAAAAGGATACTCTCAACAGTATGGTATAGACTATGAGAAAACATTTGCCCCGGTTGCAAAAATGACTATTATTCGTACTTTTATTGCCATAGCTTCAATTAGTCAGTGATATATTTCTCAGCTTGATGTTAAAAATACCTTCTTGAATGGAGATCTTCAAGAAGAAGTTTATATAGCATCCCTTCTGGTATTTCACATGACTCTGGATATGCTTGTAAGCTTTAGAAAGCATTATATGATCTCAAACAAGTACCCCGTGCTTAGTTTGAGAAATTCTCTATTGTGATCTCGTCTCTTAGCTTTATTTCTAGCGGTCATGATTCTGCTCTTTTTATTAAGTGTACTGATACAGGTCATATCATTCTGTCTTTATATGTTGATGGCATGATTATTACTAGTGATGACATTGATGGTATTTCAGTTTTGAAGACAGAGTTGGCTAGACGATTTGAAATGAAAGATTTTGGTTATCTTCGATATTTCCTAGGTATTGAGGTAGCATACTCACCTAAAGGTTATCTTCTTTCTTAGTCAAAATATGTTGCAGATATTCTTAAGTAGGCTAGACTTACTGATAACAAGACTGTAGATACTCTTATTGAGGTCAACACGATGTACTCTTCTTCTGATGGTTTACCTTTGATAAATCCTACTTTATACCGCACTATTATTGAGAGATTGATATATCTCACCATTACTCGTTCAGATATTGCATATGTTGTTCATGTTGTTAGTCAGTTTGCTGCTTCTACTACTATTGTTCATTGGGCAGCTTTTCTTCGTATTTTACGATCTTTGGGGTACAGTTTTTTAAAGCCTTTTACTTTCATCTACCTCTTCCTTGAAGTTGCATGCATACTCTAATGCTGATCATGGTAGTGATCCCACAGATCGTAAGTCTGTTACAGGGTTCTATATCTTTTTAGGTGATTCTCTTATTTCTTGGAAGAGCAAGAAATAATCTATTGTTTCTCAATCATTCACCGAAGCAGAATATCGTGCCAAGACATTTACTACCAAAGAGATTGTTTGGTTATGTTGGTTACTTGCTGATATGAGAGTTTTCTTTTCTCATCCTACTCTTATGTATTGTGACAATCAGAGTTCTATTCAGATTGCTCACAACTCGGTTTTTCATGAGCGAACTAAGCACATTGAGATCGATTGTCATCTTACTCATCATCATCTCAAGCATGACACCATTACTTTACCTTTTGTTCTTTCTTCCTTACAGATTGCAGATTTCTTTACCAAGGCGCGTTTCATCTCTCGTTTTAATTTTCTAGTTGGCAAACTCTCGATGCTTGTAGTTGCCGCATCGTGAGTTTGAGGGAAGATGTTAAATAATATTTACATAGTCTTATTTATTAAGGGTAGAATAGTACTTTCAGTTTAACTTATATATATA